TGAGTGGAACAACACACTACGATTTATCATGAAAATAATGAATATATTTATCCCCAAGCACAAAAGGGGATCTAGGTATCCCCCGAACACCGTAAATATTCCACTGGCCTTAGGTCTATAGACATAGGAATCCTATGTATCCTATGATACAATCCTATGATAGGATCATAATTGTACAACCATATACCTATGTCTCATATAAGTCTGATAGACACGGTAACAATATACCTTATTATTAATTATTTTAATTACTTTTTTTTAAATATAATTTCTTATTTTTTACAAAAAGTAATAACCATCGAAATGTGCATTTTGTGACACGTGACAGTTTTTTTTTGTACCATCTGTTAAGAAGTTACAATTCAAGAATGTAAAACCAACACAATATTCAGAATAGTCAACAAATCTTCACTATGACAATGACAAAAATACAAACCAGTTATCTACTTAATATATTAAATACTTTTGCACGAACCAGTGAATTAATTAAATCATAATAATAACCTTTGAAATAATATAATTACAATATATGACATTTCATTGATAAAATAAAATGAAACATAATGATTATTATATGAAACCACTAAACCCATGATATTATCTACACAATGCCTCTATAAATCGACAACCTCTATTAAATTTCTCAAGAAAYATTACACAAAAGATAAGTATATTACCAATCCAATTTAGCGTTGACAATAAATTATAGAACATAAAAAACTAACATACAAAGTTAAGATGAAAAAATTAGTTACAACAATAAAAGACAGAAGAAAATTACTTACATACTTCTAATAAAAGTGAAGGATCTATACCTTTTMAATTTCAAATACCATGGGATTATTATACAAATTTATAATCTATCAACTATATTAATTATAAATACAGAAAACTATTTGCAAAATATTAAAATAATTAATTATGTCATACAATAATATATAATACAAGCATCAATTATATTTGAATTTGTTCCATTAAATTTAAGAACAAGATATTTTTGGATT